CAGGGAGAAGGGTGCAACAATGAATGAATGGAATCCCAAAATCTCTGTAGATGTTCATTGAAATGAAAAATAAACAACCTAAATTAAAAAAAATATTAATGTGGCAAATATTTTGTTGTATATTTAGCCTGTTTCAATGTTATCAGGTGAATAAAACTGTATAATTAGGACATTCACATTTATATAGTCAGGAAAGAAGACCACTACATTCAGTAGTAACACTCACACTGAAAAATGGCAAATGGGTATTTCAGTTAAAATGGTTTGTAGTATATAATTTTTGTAAAATTATACTTTTTAAAATAAAGATTATCTAATTTTATGCAATTTAAACATATTTAATGCATTTCTCCTGTGCTAAAAGGCTTTTATCATTTGGGAAAAATAGTATGTCCCATTCTAGAAAAGATAACCACATTCCTCTTTCATATTTTCCTCATACATGATAGGAGAATAAAAGCAGTCCACGGTGAATAAAGGAAAGGCTTTACATAATATTGTACTATCTTTTTTGTTTGATTGCTAATTGTTTTTGCTACACATAGAAAAGCTGTTCATTGATGGAAGTATATCTATTAAAATCCATTGCCATTGAGTCCATTCCAATGCCTAGTGACCCGGTAGGACAGAAGAGAACAGCTCCACAGGGTTTCCAAGACTGTAATCTTTACAGAAGCAGACTGCCACATCTTTCTCCTGGGTGTAAACATAGTCTTTGCCAGTTCATTTCTAGGAATAATTTTTCTTTTAATGTCGTATATTTGGCTTTAAGTGGTCTCAGGAGTTGCATACTACTGAAACAGATCAAAAATGCAAAGTGGAATTTCGTGGCACTTGTTTGGTTTCTTGTATGATATTTGGCAGTCTTATAAAATGTCTCTTTTACTTTGAAAAATAAAATGAAAATTATTATTTTCTTTCCTATTCAAGGGGACGTGTCAACAAAGAAAATATTCCTTCTGGATTCAGCAACACTGATGACGGTATTTTGAATGCTCAAGAAGTAGAAAAATTAAATGAAAACAGTCCTGGTTATACTGGTGAAAGGAGTAAACCCAAACGTCAGAAATCCAGCACCAAACTTTCTGAGCTCAACGAAAATCAAGATGCCCTGGTGGTAAGTGCATATTTTTGTAAAATTAGTTAGAGAATGCCTAATTAGTGAAAGAATAATTAATTAGTTCACTAATAAGCAGTTCAAATTCACAAGCTGCTTTGCAAAAGAAAGATGAGCACCTCACATCTCATGTAATTTACAACCTCTGGAAGCCTGCTGGAAGTGATTCAGCTTTAAGGTGGTTCCAACTTGATGGCACAAAGCAACAGAGAATATCACATATCTTTTTCCTTTGTAAAAAAAATTAACAAGTAAATAACCCAATCATTTTTTAGAAGAAAGCCCCGGTGATTTCCTTCTGAAAATCAGCCACTGAAAACTATATGGAACACTGTTCTACTGACTTGATAGGTTGCCATGTGTTGAAATGGATGAAATGGCAGCTACTCTACTAGTGATAAAAGTCAAAAAGTCAGTTTATCCCCTAGAATGGATGTTTTAATGATAAAATTGTACAGATAGCTTTGAAAGTGTGTGGACAACAGATCCACGTTTTACTTTCATCTTTTTTTATGTGGAAAGACTTGCCCCTCCTTCATGGCCAGTGTCCTCATTCCATCCAGCATAGCACATGTCACAGCATTGACACAAGTGAGCTAACTGGACCATGATGTTTTTACTGCAGTGAATAATTTAAAACCTTACCAACACTACTGAGCAAGAAGAACTTCCTCATCTATAAAGTGAGGATGTTTTCCAAGACATTTTCTAATTGCCATGGTGTAAGACTTTTAAATCTTGCCTTTGTATGATAACCACAAAGAAAAAATCCTAGAAGTTAAGTTATGCATCCTTTTTTTAAAATAAATTTTTTAAAATTAAATTGATTTTAACAGAAATTTACAGAAAAGTTAGATTTTCATTTATTCACTGTTGCACATTTTTATACCCTCTCCTTCTCCTTCCCCTTCTCCAGTTCACTAGGGTTTGGTTTTTTGTTTTGTTTTGTTTTGTTTTTATGAAAAGCAATGCGTCTTAACATATTTTTAAACTTTCTTATTTTATTTTCAAAAACTCTCTTCAAAACCTTACCTGGCCCCATCTCAAGTCTTTACATCCTGACCAAACATTTATTTGACATGATGGGAATATTGTTTGTTTGTGATGTGAAGAGTAATAGTGAGGAAGCAGAGGATATAGCTTAAATAAGGTGATCTTAGAAAGCCTCACTGAGACTTTGACATTTATATAACACGAGTAAGTGAAGGAGAGAACTATCCAGATGAATAGCAAGTGCACAGACTCTGATGCATGCATTTATCTGGAGTTATGGAACCACAGTGACAAGAGAGGGTTTGTAGAGACTGAGAAGAGTGAGAGAGGTAATGGAGAAGAGAAAGACAGTTGAGGTCGTAGTTCTTTTTTTTTATTTTTGTGTGAGTGTACTGTCAAATCAGATCTGACTGCTACAGGAGGAGATTGTCCCTCCTTTTCCCGGCAGAGCATCTGGTGGATTTGAACCATGTGCCTCTGGGATTGTAGTTGAGGTCATACTTCTTACAGATAGTTGTCAGGACTGACTTTTACTGTAGGCCAGATGGAAAGCGATCAGAGGGTTTTAGGTCAAACAGTGACATGATCTGATTTACTTAAATGATAAGCAGACAAAGATAGGAACAGGCAAACTAATTAGAAAACTATTGAGATGATGGTGGTTTGAACTACGGTGACACTGGGGCCAGAACATTTGGCCATGCAGGTAATAGACTACACTTCTCTAAGGACAGAGTTCCTAACAACAAAAAGGCAGATGACTCTTCCTGATGTTGTACATTGCAGTGATAATGAAGGAGGAGGATGTGAGTGAATTTGGGGTATATTTTGAAAGTAAGATTTACAGGATTAGCTGATAGATTAGATATGTGGTATGAAAATAATAGAAGGGTCAGCAATGATGCTAAGTGTTTAGGCCTGAGTGACTAGAACTTTGATGTTACCAGTTTACTGAAGTAGGTATGACAGAAATCTTAGAAGCATTAAGAGTCAGATACACCTTAGTCCTCAAAGTAACATCCTGGTTGTTTAGCCCTTTAAAGGGAATGTTTACTACAGATTAGACTAATGTGATAAATCATTTGATTTATCTATTACTATTATTCTTAAAAATATTTTCAAATGTCTCATGTGTGTGAAAGTTGTCTTGACTTTCAGCAAGTAAGGTTGTACTATCTGCACAGTGCAAGTTATTGATTAGCTTTCCTCTGATTCTAATACCACATTCTCGTTCATAGAGGCCAGCTTCTTGAATTATTTCTCAGTATACAAATTAAATAGCTATGGAAAATTAATACAACCATGACACACATTTTTTAATTTGAAATCATGTAGTGTTTCCTTGTTCTATTCTAACAATAGCCTCTTGGTCTAGATATGGGTTTGGTATGAACACAAGTAAATGTTCTGAGTTTTCCATTCTTCTCAATGTTAGCCATATTTTGTTATGATCCACACATACAGATGCCTTAATACATATTAAAGCAAAAATAGACATTCTTCTGGTATTCTTTTATTTCAGCCAGGATCCATCTAATATCATCGATATTTCTGGTTACATGGTCTCTTCTAAATTCAGATTGAACTTCTGGCAGTTCTTTGTCTATGTACTGTTCTAGCCATATTGGGATGATGTGTTATTAATGATATTGTCTGATAATTTTTGTATTCTGTTGGATCATCTTTCTTCATAATGGAAACAAATATGAATCTCTTCCAGGCAGCTGTCCTCCAAGTTTTCTGACATAGACTAATGAGCATGACCAAGACTGTACCTGTTAGTTGAAATGTGTCAGTTCTTGGAGCCTTCTGTTTTTCCAATACTTTTAGTGCTACTTGAACTTCCTTCTTCATTACCATTATCTCTTGGTCATTTGGTACTTCCTGAAAATTTTCAGTGTAAACCAGCCCTTTTTCATACAGTGGCTCTGTGTATTCCCTCCATTTTCTTTTGATCCAAGATTTTGCCCTCTCTCAGTATAGCGTCTCTCAGTATTGCAACACAAGGCTTGAATTTCTTTTTCAATTCTATCAGCTGCATAAATGCTGAGTTAGTTCTTTTTGTTATTCTCCAATTACAGCTACCTATACATTCCATTATAATACTTTGCTTATTTAAAGAATCTGATTGATTATGTCTGTGTACGCTCAATACCAGCAGTCAAAACCAGGACTGGTGCTGACTCTGGAACAGAAGGAACAGAACATCAATTATTCATGTGCAAGTTCAAATCGAAGCTGAAGAAAATTAAAACATGCCCAAAGAAACCAAAATACAACCTTGGAACTATCCTGAATTTACAAATCATCTTAAGAATAGGCATGAAGCATTAAACACCAGTGATCAAAGACCAGATGAGTTGTGGGATGACATCAAAGATATTGTCCATGAAGAGAGTGAAAGGTCATTACTAAAATAGAGAAAAAATAAAATGGATGTCAGAAGTGACTCTGAAAATTACCCTAGAATATTGAGAAGCCAATACAAAGAGAAGGAATGCAGAAGTAAAAGATCTGAAAAATAAATTTCAAAGCGCAGCTCAAGAAGACAGAGCAAAGGATGGAGACATGAAAAAGTACTATCGGAAGAGACTAAGAAGAAGCAGTCAGAGAAATAGGGAGATAATTGAAGCATATCATCTTGAGATAGGAGATCAAATGACAGAAGACTGGTAATTGGACCCTTGATTCCAAGGGAGGGTCACTGGTGATGTTAACAAGCACAGCTTCATTGGAGAGATGGGAACAGAGATCATTCTCAAGAAAATAAAGGAAGCAAGTAACAGAAGAGAGGAGTGTATAATAATTTCATAATGCTCTTACTAACCCGACATACATCCAGAGAGAACCATGATATGGACCTAATAAAGCATTTTACAGATTTGGTAACTCTAAAATGAGATTATCTTATACTTCCATAGATATGAGCAATAGACTCAAGAGGCTATAGATGACTCAGCGCTCAGAAATCAGTGTAATCAGGTACCTATCAGAGCATTAGGCAAATCTTTTCTCTCCAGTTATTTACATTATCCCAACCCCCTGATATCCTGGCCCAATGAAGTATGACTCCCTCAGAAAACAAACCAACTATGAAAAACTTCCTCCCTTGTTTTCCTTTGACAAACTAAAATCCAGCTTATGTTTCAACAGCTTCTCTCACCTTTTAAATTTCTCTAGAAACATCTGTTTTATTTTCTAACCTGATCTAATCTGATGAGATTTTTCTAACTTTTAAGTTTAGCATCTAAGATGAAGAGGTACTCTTGCAAATTCTGTTTATTAATTACATCTATATTCCATACCTACCAAGCATGTATACATTCATGTACTTATATACACTTTCTAATGGCTTCTTCTTTGGTTTATTTTTGTTGACCTAGCTCATTTATGTATTTCATCCAAGAATCTTACTTCTGCCACTCTTTTTCAGCATATAATCTTAAGTATGGGAAAGACTATATATACTAATTTGTTCATTAAAATTATATCTGTAATCCTGGATAAATAGAAGCAATTAATATTCTAATTCCATAATTAATGTTGATGTGATGACTGTAATATAGGCTCAAGGGTGTCTAAGATGATGAGGATGGTACAGGGCAAGGCCAGATTCAAATCATTTGTTCATAGGGTTGCTGTGAGTCCCAGTTGAGTTGATGGTACATAACAATATTCAAAAATAGTTGTCTTGGTTACCTAGTGCTACTATAAAGAAATACCACAAGCAGATGGTTTTAACAAACATAAATTTGTTCTCTAACAATTTAGGATATCATTTTTTTTTTCAGGAGATAGGCACAATTTAATTTGTGACAGAAGGATATTTTTGTTATTATGTTGTATGTGCCATCAAGTCAAGTATGGCTCATAGTGACCCTTTGGACAACAGCTCTGAACCCTGTTCTATCCTCATACTTGTTGGCACTTAGAGCTCATTGTGGCAGTCACTGTGTCAAACCATCTGGTCGAGGTCTTTCTCTCCTTTACCCTCTACCTTTCTGAGC